TTTACCAGAGGAGCATCATCTTCTTCTTCTTCGGCAAATGCACTCTTAACAGGTAAGACCAAATCTGTATCATCCCAGCTTTTGGCATCCCATTCGTCATTCTCTTCTTCTTCATCTACTTCCACTTCTTGTCCCTCTTCTTCCATGTTATTCTCTTCAACCACATGCTCAACTTCCATTTTCTCGCCATTATCCTCTGCCACTGAATCCAACTCAACCTTCTCTATTTCCTGAACATCTGGCTGATCATCTACTACTGTTGTCTCTCCTGTTTCCACAGGGACCTGAGTGCTGGGTCCAGGCTTCTTCTTCTTGGACTCATACTTTGGCCTTTTTGTCACACCAGCACTAGTATCAGTGGGCATCCCACTTTGAGAAAGGAACTGCTCTCTCATCAATGCCAATCGGCGTGCCTCCTCCTTCTGCTTACCAGTCAATAGCTTTCCTTCTTGCTTCTTCTTTTGAAGCTTCTCCTTTTCTTTTTCCTTCTTCCTCCGTTTTGCCTCTTCCTTCTGCCTCTCAAGCTCTTCAAGCCTGAGCCTCTCTTCCTCCTCTTTCCTTAACCTCTCTTCCTCCTCTTTCTTCTTCTTCTCCTCCACTTCTTTGAGCCTTGCCAATCTCTCTTGCATTTCTCTCACATGCTTTGGCACCTTCTTATCAGCAGCAGCCTTGCTCTTGGCCTCCTCCTCTTTCGCCTTCTCCTCAACAGCGGCAGCTTTCTTCTCCTTCTCTTTCTCTTTCTTCTTTTTCTTCTTCTTTGCAGCTGCTGATTCCACACCCTCAGCATCACCATCCCCTTCTGCCAATTTGGGCTCCTCTATGATAATGCTTGTCTCTACAGAAGCAACATCTTTTGTTTGAACACTCTCTTCAGCTGGAGCAGTAGATTTAGTAGGAGGTGGTGGGGGTGCTGGTGCTGGTGCTGGTGCTGGTGCTGGTGGGCCTGCACCTAGCTCTGCAAGTATTTTGTCAAGGTCATCCTCCTCTTGTGCAGTCCTTCCACTCTTGTTCTTCTTCTTCTTTTGCGGTTTCTTAGAACCAAGGGAGGTATCTAACGGAGTAACACCATCCCCATCTGGTGTATCTTCATTTTCTTGTTTATTTGCCTCAGTAATTGGCTCCAAAGCCTCGCTTGTTGCAGGCTCTTGATCTTCCTCTGTTAAAGCAGCAGCAAAAGAGGAGTTGCTCTTTTTGGACTTCGACTTCTTTTTACCAGAGAACACAGGCATATCAGCTGCATCGTCTTTATCCTCTTCTGCAGGCTTTTCCTGGTCCAATTCAGTTGATGGAGAATATGGGTCATCCTCAAGAAAAGAGAGGCATGCCTTGATTCCCTTCTTTGATTTCTTCTTCCCTGTAAATTGCACAACTTCTTCTTCTACATCATTTTCTGTCTTTTTGGAAAGCCCCACATCATCAGAAGGTTCAACTGATATATCCAAGCCTAGATCCAAGGTTCTCCCTTTAGATCCCTTCTTCTTCTTCTTTCCAGTAAACTGTATCTCTTCTGATTCATCCAAATCCAAGTTATCTGTTACCGTGGATTCTTGCTCATCATCCATTGAAGCCAAGAGAGAGAATGCATCAGTTAATCCTAGTTTTTTCCCTGATTTCTTCTTCGAGTTCTTTGGTTGCTCGAAAACTACATCAGTTGCAGTAGTATCATCATCTCTCTCCGCAAAATCATCGGCCTCGTATTGCTTGTTGGACTTCTTTCCCTTCTTCTTGCCACCTTCCAACTGTTTTAAAGTCTCTTGTGGTGGAGCTTCATTGACAATACCTTCAATATTGTACTCATCATCATCAACCTTAAGATCCCTCTTCCCTTTTTTGTCTCTCTTAGATGGCTTCGAGTTCTTCTTAGAATCCATGGATTCTTGACTCATCGTATCCATCTCCTCTGCAACTTTTGCATCACTCGAGTGCTTACCATTGCCTAAGCCTTGCTGTTGATCTATCTGATCCTCAACAGAAACAGCTCCAATGGAGTATTCGTCATCATCAATTAAGCGGCCCTTCTTCTTATTTTTCTTGGTAGCCATGGAGACCCCTTGAACAGAGGGAAGGGCGCACTCTTCATCAAGTACAGAAGGCTTCTTCCGACCCATCGAATCAAAAAGTACTTGGTTTCCTCTAACTACGTAAATCTAAGACACTATTCAACCTGAAATTACAAACCATAAAACAATGGAATTGATCCCAGAGAGAAATCAAAATCCAGGAAAAGCAAGAGGTGAAAAAACCAACAACTCAGAAAGAGAGGACGCCGCCCAAAGACCAAACCCCTCCAAATGAAATAAACACACAACCCACATAGAGAAAGATTCAGAAAAAAATACATGTTAGCACTGTGATATGAATCTGCTAAAATTCATAGTAGAAGGTAAAACCAACGAACCAAATCACAATAGAAAAAGAAGAAAAGGAAAAATAAAACAGATTTCAGCAGACAAATAAAAGAGAAGGTCCAAATAGAAGAAAAAAATGACAGATTTCAGCAGAGAACTAGCAAAACGTTTACCTTCATGAAAGGTACCCTCAGAAACAAATAGAAACAATCAATCAAAGAGAAAACCGAAAAAGCTTTCAATCAGAAAACAAGCATAGACCCAATTACAATAAATAGTGGGTATCGCATAAACCAAAAGAAGAGTATCAATTAAACAAAAAAAGACAGCAATTTTCAATCAAAACACAACTACAGATCGAACTCACAACAAGAGAAAGCGAACATCAATCAACAAAAAAAAGCCAAATGTTTTCAACAAAATAAGTTACATACCAGAAAGAGCCAGGCTTTCAGACAGGAAAGAAGTTGGGCACTCAAACCTAACAGCAGAACTCTCTTGATAAACGAATCGAATAGAGAGAGAGAGACAGAGAGAGAGGAGGCAATGGGCAACAGTGAGCAGGTCTATGCGGTTACCTCCTTCAAGAGAGAGAAAGGAATAGGCGAAGAACCTAGAGAGAGAAACACTGCGAAGAACCTAGAGAGAGAAACACTGCGAAGAACTAGGGGGCGTATTTATAAGGAAGATAGGAAGGAGAGGTCTCTTTGTCCAGGTTTCCAATTAATCTATACGGTAGAGAGAGATTACGATGAAGATAATTAGATATTATAATTACTAATTTTTCAATTTTAAAAGTTTAAATAGAGTCGATGCCCTAAACAATCAAATTAGAACCCACTTGT